TGATTAATAAATTATCTAGACCGATTAAGAGTTGACCTGGTCAGGATTAATTTATTGGGGATTGATTTAATTGGGTCCGTTTGGTCCCTTCAATGGCTTCAAAATAAGATCCGGAATAAATTATAAGAGTTATGATTTATTATTATTAATTGTAGAAATATAAATTAATTAAACCGGAATGTGTCTTTCATGTGCCAAATATGTGCTATTAAGATATAGAGGTTATGATTTGGATAAGGACAAAAAAAGATTCTTTTTTTACAAGGACTTATCATCCAATAAAAGAGCGAGTCCTAGTGAGATTGGATGTTTAGTGAATCAAACCCATTATAGAGACAAGTACCTTTTGTGGGTTTAATTAAGATATATAAAAAAATTTATTTTTGTGCCCACATACAAAAAGGAAAAAAGAAAAATATCCCTGTAGTTTTTTTTCAGTTCTCGAAGAACACCGGAGAATGTCAAAAGGTTTGAAGGAAGAATATCAAACGAGGAGGCTTGAAGGTGGAATCAAGGAGATCAAAGATCAAGGATTTTTTTTTGTAAAGCACACTACAAGGGTAATTCCTAAAACACCTACCCGTTATTTTTGTTCCAAATTATTTCATTCTTGTTGACACACAACTTAATAAAATCCTTCATATTTTCCAACAGCTAGGTTCCTCGCTATACTAATTTTTGGTATATGTCTTCCGAAAAATGTCCAATTCTCTGACCGGGAGGAAGGCCGTGTGTTGTCATATTCCAATCTTATAGTATTTGGATTCTTATTCTTATCTGTAATGTAAGTGCATGTTTCTTTGGTAAGCTACTTCTGCCACACGTACCTCTACTTTGGGTAAGCCTTTCTTCGAGGTTTGGAAAAAGAACTTCACCGCTCTTGGTCTTCCTACTCCACCTCTGGGAAAGGAACTTCTCTGCAATCCCGAAGAATACAATTATCCTAATCGTTAATTTTGGTTTACCAGGTTCCCATGTGCCAATGGGTATGTTCGAATGTCCCTAAGTTTGTAGCATCTTCCGATTTTATTCAGCTGGGTATTAAAGTTTGGACTGATTGTATTCTGCAGTTCGCGAGACGACTTAAGTTAATGAATTTGAAACCATTATATTCAAAAAAAAAAAAAAACCTTTATCTCATGACCAGACTAGATTGAGGCTAGTCATTCCTTTATTTTAGCTGGTAAATCTCATGTGGAATCAAACCAATATAATACACAAACTAAGAGAATAATCCTGTTGTGCCTTTTCCTACTTATATACCAAGTGAACAAATCAATTTCTTTTAACTGTCTTGAAAATTTCACAACCATCTGTGTGCATGCTATGTTGGATTGCTTTTCCTTAATATGGAATAACATCTACATTTTGCAATTGGGCCCATAATGGGATGGGCCATTTTTTATTAATACACATATGGAAGCCCTACTCTCACCCCAATTAATATAGAATTGGCCCATTGAAATCTACAGAGATAGATATACACCCTTTTCCTCCTGTTTTTTTTTTTAGAGAGTTCTTGGTTTTCAAGGGTTCAGGAAGGGGGTTGAGGGTATTTCTCTCCATAGTAGTTTCTTAATTTTTACAGGTTAAAGAAAGGAAATGGAAGCTC